AGCACAAGGAAAAGGAAATTATGTGATAGTGTTATAAAGCCCCCGGAGAATTAGTTTTTGTAATGCACGTCTTGAATGGCAGCTGAAAGAAAGTCACCCACTAGAGGGGGATAAGCACTTTTTAAATGTTTGTTAGTCAAACAACCCTGAAGACAGAGAATACAAAGGTTGAGCCACTAACGGGGTTTTTATTTGAAAATGTGTAGTCTTACATTAAGTCTTGTGAAATCTTGTGTTTTATTTGATTAATCTCACGATGCTCACATCGTCAGTGGAAGAGCCAATAGGGAAGTGGTTGAAATATTCTGAAGCGGGCTCTTTTCTTTCGTTAGTCTTTACTTTGGCAAGAGCCCAGCAAGAGAGGTTGTAAAAACAACTTCAGCTTAAATGATTTGCCAGTGGGAGATAGGACTGTGTAGTGTGTGTGTGTGTTTATGTATTAATCACGTTGCGGGGACACATATCTGTTCAGCACATTATGGGGACTGACCTCCAAAACCTGTCAAAACCAGCCGTAGACTGAGAGACTACCTGCTTCTTTGCTCAGGCCACGATCCCTCGAAATAACCCAAATAATTTGTACACGTTTACTTGGTGAATGTTTGCGGTTCAATTCAGAAGACAAATGAACGCTCCCGACGAAACCATTACAAGTTTAAAACATGCAGGGACAAGATTTTGTCATCGGATGGTTGATGGTTGATGGCTATCATCTGAAAATGTAGCTTTTTATAATTTTAAAAGTTGCAAGATTGGGAGCGTTCCATTGCCTCTCAATGGCTTTCAACATGGCGAAGGTGAGCTCATAGCTAACAGTGTTTACCTGAGCAGGAACTGGAGGACAGGTGCTACGAGATCAGTGCAGAGGTGCATGCACTAAAAGCACCCCGGTCATGTCAACAAAAACATAACTGAGCACATGTTCATGTGTATTGTAGATTTGCATAATTAACGCCCTGATAATACCAAATAAGCATCCGCGTCCTGCCTCATATGTCATATAATGAAGTCCTAAATTCGGAGATCCACGAAGGAAAGTCCATTCTTTTCATCAGCTTTAGCAGCAGAATAAAAAGAGAGACCTGTTACAGCCGAGGAATGAGGGAAAGATAACAAGTGCTGTTAATGGCTGCTCAAGAAAGACTATTTGTTTCAATACAAGAATAATAAAACATGGTGATTGTTTTCTTAATGAATCGTCTTTTTATATCTATTATGTCTATTATGTCTATAAGAGTACTCGTATCGCTCAACTGATTCAAACATCGGCGTTCTCACATTCAGCTCCTCCAGGACCCTGATCTCGTCATTGAAAGTCATGACATTAAACATTCACACAGGAGCTTCAGAGTACAAACGGACTGATACTTTATGTACACATAGCCACTTTAATATCAGAAGCTCAGTAAAAGTGCAAATGCTTGCACAAGAGATTTCAGATGGATTGTTATCAGAGTGCTCATCACCTGAGCAGGTGGTCTGAGACGCTTTCTAGCCAGATTGTGAAATGTTAACAATGCATCTTTCCAGTTACCAACAGTTTAATATCTGTGGAAACAGACACTTCTAGTTTAATTAAGGCAGTTAATCATAACTCTGAAATGATCTTAACACTGGAATTATTGCCACATCATTTTCCAAAGTTTTTTTTAGATTGTTTTAAATCATAGGGTAAAATGCTGTAGTAATCTGTGATCAGAGCAACCACTGAACAATCTTTGTGATGTGTAAGCATTGTCAATATTTTAATAACACACATCATATGAGCTCTGAAGTGGCCCAGAAAGAAAAACAACAAAGAAAGCTGAAAATTCCCTGGCTGCAATTAGTGAACAAATGTACTGAAGACAAATTAATGGCTGTTTATTTGTTGCAGATATACTGGCAAAAGCGCAGCATGTTATGCTATCATGAACTATGTCTTGAGTTGATATTACGTAACCTAATGATGAGTACATGAAATAACAACAAAACATCTTTGTAACTACATGTTTAGGATGTGTTATAATAGTTCATGCTTACACCAAATGGGTCATACCAGCATGTCTAAAAGGGTTTTAGTAGTAAATTATATCACTTCCTCTGTCACCAGGTACAGTATGACTCATGCTGAATGCAGTTAGTAGCATTGCATGACGCAAACAGCAACCTGCTCAAGGCTCAGACTGCAGTACGTATCTGTTACAACCAGACTTCAGAGCCAAATAGACCGCGTGTGTGCTGGGATGCTTCACCACGGATGTACCGAGTCATGTATCCTCCACACACAGGGACCTCTGATCCCCGACATCAGAGTGAAGCCTTCAGCCCTTGTATACACACACACACACACACACACACACACACACACACACACACACACA